TGCTGCTGTGAAGGATGCTAGATACCTACCTTCAGTGGCTAATGTGTGTGTACCAGGTAGAGGTAGCAACAATGTTTTTAATGGTGAAAGATTGCTAGCATTGTATATAGATTTTCAAGGATGAATGGTTGTATATATACATGGTAAGAGGTGTTATAAGCCTTAAACAACATGGGGGTTAATGTATGTGGGAGCAAGCACCCAAATAAAGGTATAATGTATGGTGGTGCTTGTATAGTAGCTTTTTACAGTGAATTGGTACCAGGATATTCTCATCCGTGTAGATACGAGTATAGATGTACACCAAGAAGCTTAAGGTGGGTGCGCTTTATGCAAGGGAGTGATGTATTCACTTATGTAATATGTATGATATAGATTTATATCATAAGTACAGGCATGTATTGCCTAGGTTAATGTGATGTATTCACATGTGTTACTGTAGTGTGCAGTAAGGTATATATTTATACCGTAAGTAATTATGGATCACAAAGGGAAGGTGATGTATTCACCTATGTTGGATTGGTATATAATATACCAATAGTGGGTGTATATTGCCCGGGAATGGAAGGTAATCAAGTAATTTCATAATTAGATTGGGGGGAAAATACAAATTGTACATATTGTTTAGGAAAGGTGATGTATTCACTGATGAAGATGGGTGAACATATATTTATACCCAGAAATATGGGCTAGTATAGCTCAGGAAAAGAATTATTTCCCTATGTGAGATGTAAGTGTTGGTGCATGGGGAAAATGTTTCCAAATGATAATTGAGTATACATGTACTATATTATTTCAATGCAAAGATTATGATCTGGATTTCTTAATATTGTAGTTTTTTGTTTTGTTAGGATAAGTCTTGTGCATACTTATTTAACTATTGTTTTTTATACAATTGTTCTTGCAGACCAATGGGACGGAAATTAAGGAGCTACCAGATCAGTTAAAAGCTTTAGTGAAAGTGTTGCCCGAGCTTTTGAATAACTCTAGAGCGGATGCCACTGTAAAGAAATATTTTCTTGGCTTTAAGAAGTGGGCTGACTGGGCTAAGACTAATAGTATTACTGTATTTCCAGTTTCACCATTATATTTGTGTTTATACTGTAGTTTTTTATTGCAAAATGGTACTACTGCATCTACATTATTAGATATATTCTATAGTGTTAGATGGGCTCACAATGTAGTGGGAGTTGTCTCCCCTACGGAGAGTTGTTTAGCCAAAAATGTATTTTAGGGAGCTAAGAGAAAAATAGCCAAACCTGTAATTAAAAAGGAGATCATCACAGTGGATATTTTAAATAAATTGTATGATAAAATATTTGATGAAGGTAATCTCTTAAGCCAGAGAATGATCACAATTTCACTGTTATGTTATGCAGGTTTTTTGAGAAGTGCGGAGGTACTGCATTTGATCAGGTCTGATATTAGAGTGTTATCCACCCACCTGGAAGTGTTTATTCAACAATCCAAAACTGATGTGTACAGAGACGGATCTTGGCTCTTAATTGCGAGAACTGGTAACAGATTATGTCCTGTGAAAAACTTGGAGCGTTATATGAAACTTGCAGGGATTCCAGACGATAGTTGTGAGTTTTTGTTCCGAAATGTGACAAAATGTAAAGACAAATATATTCTTAGAAAGGACAACAAGCCACTACTGTATGCAAGATTACGCGAGTGTTTCATAGAGAACTTCTCCAAAGTTGTGGAAGATGTTACCAAATACGGACTGCACAGATTTCGTGCAGGAGGAGCAAGTTCAGCTGCATGTGGGGGAATATCCGATCGATTATTTAAGCGTCATGGCAGATGGCGAAGGACGGATATGTGAAAGACAGTTTACAGGCCAGGTTGTCGGTATCCCTAAAATTGGGGCTTTAGATTATTAGAAATGGGAAATAGTTATGTTAGGTCAAGTGGGTGGAGGATGCGTAGAAAGTATAGGGTATATTCAAAATTATATTGAAAGACGATTTGATTCAGAAATGAAATAAGTTATAATTCATGTTGAGAATGAATTTAATAAAATATCATTGAAGCTTGTGTTTTTATTTACGGTAATGCCCGTTCTTTGTATTCAGGCCGGTGCGTTGTGAACAGCCTATTGGTGTTTGTTGTTGCCACCTGGGGGGTGGGTAATTAGAGAATTTATATTTCGCGCGGTTGACTACAAGGAATTAGCGCGAAATTGTTTTCTCTAATGGTACCCCGATAGGTGGCGACACCTGTAGGGCATGTGTAGCACGTGCATCAAGTGTTGCTGGGACCTCAGTTCAGGTCAACGCACGGGTCAGGACAGAGGTATAGAAAATTTTATTTTCCTGAAAAAATAGTGGTAAATGTCTAGGAGATACATTGTAGATGTGTAGGATAAAATATACATGACAAATTGTTGTAAAATGTTGTTTGAAATTATTATTAATAATTAAACAGTCACTGGTGCAGGCCGGTGCGTTGTTAACAGCCTATTGGTG